TATCAATTATGTGCTAAGACCGGAAACCCAAAATGAGAGCTGAGAGAAGCACTGAGGTCCTAAGTTTTGGTCATACTCTCAGCTAAATAAGAACCTGACCAAAAAAGGAGAATTTTTTTTTTTTCAGCAAAATTCTGGGACACCATTGTTTTGGACTGAGCTCATGCACTAAGCCCCAACAAACCAAACCAAACCAAAATGGAGTCACTCGTGCTAAGACTTTAAGGAAACACAGAATCTAGAACAGACCAGATTTGGTTTTTTTACATGCAAATCTCTGTAACAAACATTTCTGACAGCATAGGTATCAACCCCTTGAAGTTCCCATTAAATCTTTTAACCAAATTCATTTCCTCTCACCTAGAGACCATCAAGCTTCAGATAATCATGCAACAAAGGCTCCAGCCAGTTCCAGGTGAAGAAGCTACTCTGGCCATCAAGAAACTACTCTGTCTCCACTAGATAGAGCAGGGTGAGAGTTCTGTGATCCCCAATAGGAAGGGACTATGCCCCAAACCAGCATGAAGCAGTTACAGAAAAAGACCATCAGTCCTTCTGGCTCCCATAAAGATTTATGGGGATCACATCTCCATTAAAATAAAAGCAGCAGGAAAATAGGGTCTGGAGGCAGGGAACATAAGGCCAATTCACACTTCAGCTATAACAGGAAATATCCTCTCCATAGGGCTTAAGCTGAAAATGACTTTGTAACTTCATTTCAAACTCTTCATTTACATAGGGTGTACCCAAGTAACCAATGAGATCCTCTAGGGTATACTGAAACTCCCAAAAATTCTGTAACAGGGCCTTTGAGCCCCTATGCTAGGGCCTGCTCCCACACTGTGGAGTGTACTTTCATTTTCAATAAAACCCTTCATTCCTCCCTTGCTTTGTTTGTGCATTTTGTCTAATTCATTGTTCAAGACACCAAGAACTTGGACAGCCTCCACTGTTAGCAATTAGAGCAGAAATAAGTGAAATAAGAGAACAGACAACAATACAGAAAAATCAATAAAACTAAAAGTTGGTTCTTCCAAAAGACCAAGAAAATTGACGAACCTTAGTAAGACTGACCAAGAAAAAAGGAGGAGACTCATTATAATAAAGAGGAGACTCATTATTAATATCAGAAATGAAAGAAGGAGTATTACTACCAAACTTTCAGGAGAAAAAGAAATATAAAGGAGTACTACAAACAACTTTAGGCCAAAAAATTAGATAAATTAGATGAAATGAACAAAATCCAAGAAAGACACAACTACCAAGACACAAACTACTCAAAAGGAAATGAAACACTTGAATACAACTATAGCAAGGAAAAAGACTGAAATTAGTAATTTTAAAACTTCCTACAAAGAAAAGCCCAGGCCCACATGGCTTCACTGATGGATTCTATCAAACATTTGAAGAAGAACGAAAATCAATCCTTGACAGATTCTTCTAAAATATAGAAGAGGAGACAATACTTCCCAATTCCTCTTATGAGGCTAAACTTACATCAAAATCAGACAAAGCTATCACAAGAAACCATAGACCAATAGTGCTTATGCATATAGATGCAAAAATCTTCAGAAAATACTAGCAAATGGAAGCCAGCAACATATAAAGTGGATTATAAGGCCAGGCATGGTGGCTCATGCCTGCAATCCCAGCACTTTGCAAGGCCAAGGCGGTCAGATCAACTGAGGTCAAGAGTTTGATACCAGCCTGGCCAACATGGTAAAACCCAGTCTATTCTAAAAATACAAAAAATTAGCTGGGCGTAGTGGCAGGCACCTGTAATCCCAGCTACTTGGGAGGCTGAGACAGGAGAATCACTTGAACCCGGGAGGCAGAGGTTGCAGTGAGCTGAGATCATGCCACTGCACTCTAGCCCAGGCAACAAATAAAGTGTATTATATATCATGACCAAGTGGGATTTATCCCAGGAATGTAAGGGAAAAAATAAAAAATAAAGTGTAAACAAATAAAATAAAGTGGATTATACATTATGACCAAGTGGGATTTATCCCAGGAATGTAAGGTTGGTTTAACAACTGAAATCAATACATGTAATATACTATATTAATAGAATGAAGGGAAAGAACACATGATCATTTTAATGTATTCAGAAAAAGCATTTGACAAAATGTAATACTTTCACAATAAAAACACTCAGCAAACTAAGCACAGAAGGAAACTTCTTCAATGTAATAAAAGGCCACTACAAACAAATACACAGCTAATATACTTGATGAAAGACTGAATGCTTTCCCCAGTATCATGAACAAGACAAAGATATGTACTCTCATCATTTTTATTCAACAGTGTACTGGAGGTTCTAGATAAGGCAATTAAGCGAAAAGGAAAAGAAAAGGCAGATTGGAAAGGAAGAAGGAAAATTATTCACAGATAACATGAAATCCACTAAAACTATTAAAACTAACAAGTTTATCGAAGTTCACAACACAATGTCAGTATATAAAAGTTATATTTCTATACACTAGCAATGAACAATCCAAAATGTAATTAACAACTCTATTTACAATAGCATCAAAATTTAACAAATTCAACAAAACAAGAGCAAGACGTGTATACTGAAAAGTACAAAACACTGTTGAAATTAAAGATCTAAATAAACAGACATCCCAAGACACCCATAGTGCTCAAGTTGATCTACAGATTCCAGGCAACCCTACCAATAACTCAGCTGCTTTTTGGTAGATATTGACAAACTAATCCTAAAATTCATATGGAAATTCAAGGGACCCAGAATCACCAAAACAATCTGGAAAAAGAACAAAGTTGGAGAACTGGCACTTCCTAATTTTAAAACCTCCCACAAAGCTACAGTAATCAAAATTGTACAATATTGACATAAGGATAAACATAGAGATTGTGAAATATAATTAAGAGTCTAGAAATAAACTTTTATTATGGTTAACTGATTGAAAAGGGTGTCAAGAAAATGTAGGAAAGTACAGTCTTTTTAAGAAATGGTGCTGGTGGCTGGGGGTGGTGGCTCATGCCTGTAATCCCAGCACTCTGGGAGGCCGAGGCAGGTGGATCACCTGAGGTCAGGAGTTTGAGACTGGCCTGGCCAACATTGTGAAACCTTGTGTCCACTAAAAATACAAAAATTAGCTGGGTGTGGCAATGCACTCCTCTAATCCAAGCACTCAGGAGGCATGGGTTGCAGTGAGCTGAGATCACGCCACTGCACTCTAGCCTGGGTGACAGAGCCAGATTCTGTCTCAAAAAAAAAAAAAAGAAAAAGAAAAGAAAGAAATGGTACTGGGAAAACTAAATATCCACATAAAACAGAATGAATTTGGAATCTTACCTCCCACCACACACAAAAATTAACTCAAAATGGATCAGATACCTAAATTTAGGAGCTAAACGTATAAAACTATTAGAAGAAAACAAAGTAACAGATCTTTGTGACTTTGGGTTAGGCAATGGTTTAGATACAACACCAAAAACATGAGCAACCAAAGAGAAAAAAGATACCATTCTGACTGGGTGTCATCAAAATTAAAAACTGCTGTATTGCAAAGGACACCATCAAGAAACGGGAAAAGACAACCCACAGAATGAGAGAAGGCATTTGCCAATAATATACCTGATAAAGGATTTGTATTTATAATATATTTTAAAAATCTCTTACAATGCAATAATAAAAAGATAAATAACTCAATTTTAAAGATGGGCAAAGGATCTGAATAGACACTTCTCCAAAGAAAATCTGCAAATATCTAATAAACATATGAAAAGATGCTTGACATCATTAGTCATTAGGGAAATGCAAATGAAAATCACAATGAGATTCCATCTCATGCCCTCTGGGATGGCTATAATCAAAACGATAGACAATAGCAAGTGTTAGAGAGGATGTCGAGAAATTGGAACCTTCATACATTGCTAGTGGAAATATAAAATGGTGCAACCACTTGGGAAAACAGTTTGGGACTTTTTCAAAATGGTAAACTTTACTTAGAGTTACCTTATAACTCAGTACTTCTACTCCTAGGTATACATTTAAGAGAAATAAAAACATACATGCACAGAAAAACTTGTATGTGATGGTTCATAGAAGCATTATTCATAATAGCCAAAAAGTGGAAACAATCCAAATGTCCATCAACTTATGAATGAATAAATACAATGCGTATATCCATAAAATAAAATATTATTCAGCAACAAATAGACAGTCAGTACTGACATGCTACAACATAGATGAGCCTCCAGAACATTGTGCTGAGTGAAAGAAGCCAGACACAAAAGATCACATGTGTTCATTTCTACAGCATGTTCAGAATAGGCAAATCTATAAAAACAGTAAATTCATGGTTGCCTACGGCTGTTAGGTGGCACTGGGTGGCTACAGAAGGGAATGGGGAATAATGCTAATAGGTATGTAGTTACTGTTTCAGATGATGAAAACGTTCAAAAATAAATTGTGATGCTAGTTGTACAACACTGAATATACTAAAAACCATTGAATTATACAATTTAAATGGGTGAGTTACATAGTATGTGAATTATATCTCAATAAAGCTGTTAAAAATATAGTGATGGTCAGGCACAGTGGCTCACGCCTGTAATCCCAGCACTTTAGGAGGCTGAGGCAGGCAGATCACAAGGTCAGGAGTTCAAGACCAACCTGGCCAATATGGTGAAACCCTGTCTCTACTAAAAATACAAAAATTAGCCAGGCATGGTGGTATGGGCTTATAATTCCAGCTACTCGGGAGACTGAGGCAGGAGAATTGCCTGAACCTGGGAGACAGAGGTTGCAGTGAGCCAAGATCACGCTACTGCACTCCAGCCTGGGCGACAGAGCAAGATTTCATCCCCCCAAAAAAGTATCTATATCTATATATAGATATAGATACATAGTGATGAATTCCGAGAAAATCATGTGGTCTGCTTGTAAAGTCACCTTTTATCTTTATATTGTAAGGGACATGTATGTTGGTGTCATTGTTGCCAGTCCAGTGAACACCTTGATTACCTACCTGTTCCCATTCATGCTTTGGTAAGTGTTCAGAAGGACATCCACTTGCTTTAATTCTCCCATGTGCACTGATAGTCACGCCTACTTTACTGGGCTTCGAGTCGTTGTTACAGTCTTTGTTTATTTCTTTTGGTGGCATCAGCACAGATTTCATCTATAAAACAGATTCATGCATTAGTCCAACCCTCTGCTTATTCTGCCGCATACAGAGACTTCAGTCCCAGTTGGGATTTTGTCTATATTGTGGTGCCACAACCCAATGAAAAACACACGGTCACTTTTTGCATCTCGCCCACCTCCTACATCTCACTGATCCACTGATGTCAGTAAGGTGGCTCTGTTACAGTCTGTTGGTACATCTTCCAACTACAGTCATTGCCCTATAAAGAAAGAGTTTCTGTGCTTCACTGGAGTTTCTATGTAGGTGTTAGATACATTCTGTGGCATCCATACAGAAAATGGAAGATGCTAAGGTAGGGGCAACTAGGCTCCTGTTGAGCCTTTATCTAGCCATAGGGTCTTAGGAGTTCAGAAACACCTCTTAAGAGGGTGGCTGCTGTGCATTTTGTTATGCTTTCCAGAAGAAATGAGAAAAGGTACATCTGTGTCCAAGAAAGTTCTTAAAGGGGACATAGGTTGAAAACTTCAGAAGCCCTTCAACCTAAATGCAATGTGGTTCTCAGCCTGACTCTGCCAGCCATTGACAACGTTCTCTAATCCTGGCAACAAAACGGCTGTGTTTCTTTGGAAAACAAGATGTCTTTCTGATAAAGCATCAATTACTAGAATCCCTCTTGTTCCCTTACACAAGCAGAGACTGTCATTTTATACTTGTTTCTTTGTAGGACCATCTCTTTAAACAAAACAATGTTAAACAATACTTCTGTTACACTGGTGGCCATGGTTCAGTGATAGACAAATTCTCTGTGGTAGCCACTTAGTTTCTTTTACAAACCAGGGCATGTAGGAAATCTTACCTTTATTTTTAAAAAATAAAACTGAATCTTATTCTGAGGTCCTGTCTCATGGAGCTAGGTAGAAATTCAATCTCAGCTATTACTAGCGACTTCACAGCCTACCTGCCCTGTTTCCTGCCAGCAAATGTCTGCAGGTCTTAGGTAGAGCAGAATATTCTGGGAGGACCCTCTAGACTTGGGTTCACACAACTCACTTCTTCTTCTTCTTTTTCTTTTTCTTTTTTTTTTTTTTTTTTGTAGAGATGGGATCTTGCTATGTTACTCAGCCTGGTCTCGAACTCCTGATCTCAAGAGATTCTCTCACTTCAGCCTCCCAATGTGCTGGGACTACAAGCATGAGCCACCATGCCCAGCTGTACACAACTCATTTCTGATGAGCTCACTGAGCAAGGGTCACATGGTCTCTTAAATATATGTGGCTGTGAAGTTTTCAAGGCCACTTGGGATCAGGATACTTCGTCCCAGCTCTCCCTAAGGCACTACACCACCATTTTCCCCCGGGGAGTCCTAGTAGCCATCTTTCCCCACATGCCTTGATAGCGAGTTTGAAGAACACTAAACCAGAATCTTAGTCTTACAAAATCTTCCTTCCTTCCATAGTCCCTCTGCATTGAGCCCCCCTCAACCTGCCCACCTTACAAAATGCCTTAAATAAACCTAGACTAGAGGTTGTCATCAAATTCTCCCAACCCTTCCCCTCCCCTGTTAACAATGAAACCATAACCACCACGTGTAAACCAGGAAGTATGAACCCTCCTACCACAGAGGGCTGGAGGGTCCTATGGGATGGGAAAGTGGCAGTTATAAAATTGGACTGTAACAATCTACTTTTATGTTTCATCTGATAGAGTTCCAAATGGCTGAACCTGTTATTTTCACTATAGTTTCTAATACAAGTATGTGTTACCAGTTCAATCTCACTCAAGGAAAGGCAGAAGACAAACAATATACGAGTCGAATTTCTATCTTTAAAACCAGTCTCATGAGCGGTTAGAACAGTGATCCCTGAAGCAGTTGAAACTTGAGGTATCCTGAGAAAATTGCTAGCCCACAAACTCCTCCCCAGGGTCTGTCTTGGTGACTGAAACACAAACCTCAGATCCAAGTATCAGGAAAAAAGAAGAGAAGAGAGCTATATGTTTAGTACTATATGCTATTTTCTTTTTCTTTCTTTCTTTCTTTTTTTTTTTTTTTTTTTTTTTGAGGCAGTATGTCACTCTGTCATCCAGGCTGGAGTACAGTGGCTTGATCTTGGCTCACTGCAGCCTCTGCCTCCCAGGTTCACGTAATCCTCCTGCCTCAGCCTCCCAAGTAGCTAGGATTACAGGTGTGCGCCACCATGCCCAGCTATTTTTTTTGTAGTTTAGTAGAGACAGGGTTTCACCATGTTGGCCAGGCTGGTCTTGAACTCCTAGCCTCAAATGATTCACCTGCCTCAGCCTCCCAAAGTGCTAGGATTACAGGTGTGACCCACCACACCTGGCCACCATTTTCTTCATATAGATAATTACAGTTAATCCTCCCAACAATCCAATATAGTAAGATGATAGGGTTTTTTGTTTGTTTGTTTTTTGGTTTTTTTTTTTGAGATAGAGTCTCACTCTGTCACCCAGGCTGGAGTGCAGTGGCATGATCTCAGCTGTAACCTCTGCCTTCCAGGTTCAAGCAATTCCCTGCCTCAGCCTCCCAAGTGGCTGGGATTACAGGGGCTCACCACCACGTCCAGCTAATTTTTGTATTTTTTGTAGATATGGGGTTTCACCACAATGGCCAGGCTGGTCTTGAACTCTTGACCTTGTGATCCACCCACCTCAGCCTTCCAAAGTGCTGGGATTACAAGCATGAGCCACTGCACCAGGCCTGTAGTTAGGTATTTTTATCTTCAGTTTATATGTGTAGAAACCAAGAATTAGAAAACTTCAGTATGTTGCCCAGTCACTCAGGAAGTGGCAGAGGCAGGATGTTAACCTAGTTCTGTCTGTCTAATGTTAGACCCTCACAGTCTTCACTATGTTAAGGTGGCTCTCAACTTGGGATCTCCACAGAGCTAGTGAGGGACATCCCAGAGGCATCTTCTCAATATCCCAGAAAGCCCTCGATAGAGCTGGCTGCTCAGGCTAACCTCAGGAAAGCAAACGTTTTCAATCTGATCAATTGGAAGAGCTGCCATGACTGATTAGCACCACAGTCATAGGGCAGGTGCCGATGGAGTGTGGCATTCATGCCCCGTGTTCACCAATATTTGACTGACAAAGACATCGTGTTCCCTTATGCTCTTAGCAAGAATCTCATCCACTCACGATGTTAATACTGACTATTTTATCTTGATCAAAATGTCTTATTGGCTTGACTACTTACTGATATCACGAGAAAGGTACCTAAAACTTAGGGTGGGCTTAACTTTTATTGCAACTGGTTTTTTTTTTTTTTGTTTTGTTTTGTTTTTGTCAGACAAGGTCTCTCCCTATCATGCAGGCTGGAGTGCAGTGGCATGATCATAGCTCACTGCAATCTCAAACTCCTGGGTTCAAGCAATCCTCATGCTTCAGCAGCTGGGACCACAGGTGTGTACCACCACACCTGGCGAATTTTTTCTTTTTTGTAGAGATAGGGTCTTGCAATGTTGACCAGGCTGCTTTCAAACTCCTGGCCTCAAACTACTGGCCACCTCAGCCTCCCAAAGTGCTGGAATTACAGACATGGGCTACCAAGGCTGCCTTTTTTTTTTTTTTAGAGTAAAAGGAGGTGCCATTAATAATTACACCAGGACAACAGGTGTAAGCCAGGAAACATGGTCATCAGTTGGGGAGGTGGGGAAGGGTGGTATGTAAAATCACCACAGAATCAGGAAAGGGCTGTAAAAAAGTTTCTATCCGGCCGGGCATGGTGGCTCATGCCTGTAATCCCAGCACTTTGGGAGGCCAAGGCGGGTGGATTACTTGAGGTCAGTAGTTTGAGACCAGCTTGGCCAAAATGGTGAAACCCCATCTCTACTGAAAATTCAGAAATTAGCCAGGTGTCATGGCAGGTGCCTGTAATCCCAGCTACTCGGGAGGCTGAGACATAAGAACTGCTTGAACCTGGGAGGCAGAGGCTGCAGTGAGTCAAGATCATGCCATTGTACTCCAGCCTGGGAGACAGAGTGAGACTCCATTTCAAAAATAAATAAATAAATAAAGTTTCTATCCAGTTTTGTCTTAGGTTTGCCCTGCTTTGATCTTAAACCAGGAGACAGTCAACAAATATTAAGTACTTACTACATACCAGGTGCTGGGGTTTTGTATAAGTAGACTAGAAAAGCAGAGAACAACAGTAAAGAAACAGTACCACAATTTCTTATTTAAATTTGGTAACTGTGATGAAGGATATGTACAAGGGGCTTGACAGTATATAAAAGAGGATCTCGTCTGGTCTGGGGGTCAGACTTATTAAGCTTTAATTAAAAAGATGGGGGCCGGGCACAGTGGTGGCTCACACCTATAATCCCAGCACTTTGGGAGGCCAAGGCGGATGGATCACCTGAGGTTAGGAGTTTGAAACCAGCCTGGCCAACATGGTAAAACCTCGTCTCTACTAAAAATACAAAAAAATTAGCCAGGCATGGTGCCACACTCCTGTAGTCCCAGCTACTTGGGAGGCTGAGGCATGAGAATCACTTGAACCCAGGAGGTGGAGGTTGCAGTGAGCCAAGATCGCACCATTGCACTCCAGCCTGGGTGACAAGAGTGAAACTCTGTCTCAAAAAAAAAAAATTTGTTTTCAAAAAAAACTATTTCAAAAAAATTATCCTATTTGATGTGTATTAGGCAGGAAATCATATCAGCTCAGAACTCAATTGCACTTATATAAGTGACTCCACTTATCTAAGGTACCTAGAGTAGTTAGATTCGTAGACAGAAGGTAGAATGGTGGTTGCCAGGGGCTGTGAGAAGGAGAGAATGGGGAGTTAGTGTTTAATGGGTCCAGAGTTTCAGTTTGGGATGATGGAAAATTCTGTAAATTCATGGTAGTGATGGTGATAGTTGCACAACAATGTGAATATACTTAATACCTCTGAACTATACACTTAAAAATGGTTACAGTGGCAAATTTTATGTTATGTATATCTTACAATATAAATGAATGAATTGAGATTTTAATTTTAAAAATTAGGATATTTTGCTTTTAGAAACCACATAAAATGCCAACATTTCCTCATTTTTCCACCCTCTCATGAATTATTTTTCCATATATAGAAGTTACCCACTTAGTTCTTTATCATGCAGTTATAGATTTTTCTTAAAATTTACACTTTTATATACTCTAATAAAATTTATACTCTAGTCTTTATTTAGAGTTATAACCACTAAAACACAAATGAATTCAAAATAATAAATGAAAAGAGGGATATTCCCTTCTAAGTCCCTGAGAGAAGATTTGTGCCAACATTACTTCTTACTTTGTTTCTCTCTACACGGTGGAGTAAATTCAAGTCTGTGGTCTCTGATATCCCACCATGTACGACCAGAATTTCATTGTCAATGATGGTACCAATTGGGAGCCAGGTATAGAGTTCTTCCAAGGTTTGTAAGATTTTTTTTCCATGTACCTGTAAGTAAGAGCTTGAGTAAGTTTTGTTTTTCTGTAGGTTCAGTTTATTGAATAGTTTCCACATATGGATAAAAAGTAACGGTTTTCAGGCCACCCAGAGAAAGTCAGCAAGGAGTCACTAACCAATTAGCATGTACTCATCATGTCTTTTTATTCTGGGTTTTTATTTTTTTTTGAACCAGAGTCTCACTCTGTCACTCAGGCTGGAGTGCAGTGGTACCACCTTGGCTCACTGCAACCTCTGCTCCCAGATTCAAGCGATTCTCCTGCCTCAACCTCCCAAGTAGCTGGGACTACAGGCATGCGCCACCATGCCTGGCTAATTTTTATATTTTCAGTAGAGACAACGTTTTACCATGTTGGCCAGGCTGCTCTTGAACTCCTGAACTCAGGTGATCCTCCTGCCTCGGCTTCCCAAAGTGCTGGGATTACAGGCATGAGCCACCGCGCCCGGCCCTTTATTTTGTATTTTTGGTACTATGACATCTTGGGATCTTGCTGACTCTGGAGGAGAGACTGTCCTTCCCAGGGCTAGCTAATTCCTAGATAGTCAATGACTCGCCCTTCATATGCAAACCAACCAACACAGAGCCCACACCCCAGCTACCTTCTTCATGGAGCTCACACTCAGGGCCACTCTTCCCCTGCCCTCCTCATCCCGGCCAGGTACCAGACAACTAGAGACAACCTCTACGGCCCAGAGCAGCCTGAAATTACTCAAACTGGTCAGTCCTAAACCAGATTACCCTCAGATGCTCCCCTCTGCCTTCCCTCCCATAAAAACCACAAGCAAGGCTGTCGCCCATGTTTTCCCCTCTCTCCCTCTGCCTTCTTTTTTTTTTTTTTTTTTTTGAGATGGAGTGTTGCTCTGTCACCCAGGCTGGAGTGCAGTGGCGCTTTCTCGGCTCACTGCAACATCCACCTCCCAGGTTCAAGTAATTCTCCTGCCTCAGCCTCCTGGGTAGCTGGGATTACAGGCGCACACCATCACACCCAGCTAATCTTTCTATTTTTAGTAGAGACAGGGTTTCACCATGTTGGTCAGGCTGGTCTTGAACTCCTGACCTCAAGCAATCCACCTGCCTTGGCCTCCCAAAGTGTTGGGATTACAGGCATCAGCCACTGTGCCCAGCCTCCCTCTGCCTTCTGACCAACTCTGGTGCTTCCCCACCCTGTCCCCCAGAGTGGTATGTAGTACTTCCCTTTTCTAGAGAGCTGTAAATAAAAATCTCTTCCTTCATGACAGTCATTTCTGTGCCTGCATGTTTTACCACACCTAAGTAAAACAAATCCTTGGTACCCTTAAAGCAATGAAATATTATCTATGTTAAAACTTATACAAAATGCACAATGAAAAAGTGTGGTTTAATCCAGAAAGAAAATATAAGACTCTACTGTGGCCAGGGCTTCCTGCTGTGCTCGTATTTTATTGGCATGCATTCTGACTAGCTGGCTCATCACCTTTCCTAAAGCATCAATCTGGTCTTTATTGGCTCTTTTTAAATTTCTCTATAGAAACAGCAAAGTGAATACTTAAAAAAAAAAAAAAAGAATGTCTTACCTTATATTTATGCAAAATTTCTTTTGTGAAGCCATACCTAAAAAAAATGGGATTTCAATGATTTAATTGATTGTTGATAACTCCTACTTCCATGAATCATGCAAAAAAGGGAGCCCTTGGCATCTCAGTATCACAAGCACCAAGAACTTAAGAAACTAGACTTCAGTTGGAAGTATCACTTACCTGAGTCTTTGCTAGGCATGACTGGAAAGAATAAAACCAACCAATGACATCATCCCTACTCTCAAGGAGCTTATAGTATAGATGGGGAAAGAAGACAGATTTCTATGAAACAATTACAAGCTGACTTAAGAAGTATGTGGTAGGCACAGGCTGTGTAAACACTACAGGTATGCAGAGAAGCATGCTGGGAGCTGGGGGAAGCCGTGCGGGAGAAGGCTTTTCATTAGACAGAATTTCTCAGACATCCGATATAGTAAATGATTGGAAAAAAGAAAAGACTGAAAAAGAGAAAAGCCTAGAAAGTAATAAGTTGGCTTGTTATGCTCTCTCTGATATAGGTCCGGTCTTGAGGGTTTTAATAGAAAGTGTCAGGAATCTTAATGCTTGAATAGCAGTAGCCAAGGGAGATTCAATGATGACAATGTTTCTGTTACTTTTCTTTTTTCTTTTCTTTTTTTTTTTTTTTTGAGACATAGTTTCACTCTTGTTACCCAGGCTGGAGTGCAATGGCGCGATCTCGGCTCACCGCAACCTCCGCCTCCTGGGTTCAGGCAATTCTCCTGCCTCAGCCTCCTGAGTAGCTGGGATTACAGGCACGTGCCACCATGCCCAGCTAATTTTTTGTATTTTGAGTAGAGACGGGGTTTCAGCATGTTGACCAGGATGGTCTCGATCTCTCGACCTCGTGATCCACCCGCCTCGGCCTCCCAAAGTGCTGGGATTACATGCTTGAGCCACCGAGCCTGGTGTTTGTTACTTTTCTTTGCTTTAGGATAACAGTACGTGCCCTTAATATCCAACACTGTGAAGATGAAATGCAACACACTCACTCCAGCTTTCCACACAAATCATGTTATGTCAGGCTTCTACAGTGTAACGCCATGTTTTCTTTCTTTCTTTCCTTCTTTATTTTTTTAATGTATTTTTAGTAGAGACGAGGTTTCACCATGTTGGCCAGGATGGTCTCCATCTCTTGACCTCGTGATCCACCTGCCTCAGCCTCCCAAAGTGCTGGGATTACAGGTGTGAGCCACCGCGCCCGGCCCACATCATGTTTTCTGAGATGAATTCCATCCTGTACTAAGGTGTCCACATTGTTCAGTCCAACAGATGCCTTGCAGTCCTCACCTTTCTCTGAAACACTAAATACAGCTGACTCCACCATCCTTCTAGAAAACTTTTCTTTCCTTGGATTCTGTGACCATAAGCTCTCTTGGTTTTCCTCTTGGCTCTTCTGAGCCTCTTTTGCAAGCTCTCCTCTACCTCACCTTAAATGTTGCAGTTCCTTCAGATTCCATCCTAGGCTCTTTTCTCCTCTCATTTTCTCCTTTGGGAATCTCATCCCTGCCCGGGGTTTCAGTTATTATCTAGTGTCAATACCACAGGTTGACGTTCCAGGCCACACTTCGTTTCTCATCTCTGGACACATATGTATATTCAACCGCCTACTCAGTAGTACCTCAAATCAGCATACTCCAAACTGAACTCATCATTCCCCCTCATCCCAACCTCTCTCCTCTTTCTACATTCCCAATATCAGTGAATGATGCTGCTGTACCCCCAAACTCAAGTCGGGAACCTGGAGGTCATCCTTGATTCCCTCCTCTTTCAGCTCCCCCCTATCAAGTTATTGAGCCTTAAATAATTGTCTAAACTCCTCTTGAATCTATTTCTCTGCATCTCCATCACCACCACCCTAGTCTAAATGAGAACCCGTTATCTATCTCTTTAACCTTCAACTACTTCCTAATTGACCAGCATGTATCCACTCTTGCCCCTCTCCAACTCTCTCCTCCTACTGCATTTTAAAACACAAATTTTATGACATTCTTTGGTGACATTCTGTTGTCCTTAGAAGTCCGTCCAAATTCCTCTGAACCATCCAATCATTTCTTATGTCTCCAGCCCTATCAGGCACCACCCTGTCCCTCAGTCTATGCCCCTGCCCTCCTGAACTTCTTTCACGTCTAAACAGTCTTGTCCTAAGCTCTGCATAAGTTGTCCCCTCACTGCAGAACACATTCCCATCCCCTCTATGGCTCTTTCTTGAATGCCTACTTCATTCTTCAGATCTCAGGCTAACGCCATATTTCTACAGCGAAACCTTCCATCATCTTTCAGACAAGGTTGAATTCCCCCTTTACAAACTCATCACACTTGAAAAATCTCCTCAACATGTTTCTTCCCTGCTAGATGTAAATTCTTTGAGGGCAGGGGCCATGTCTCCTTCGTTAACCATTATAAATATGATAGGCTGTAAGGGTAAATAGCATGCCTAAATAAATGTATTGAACTATATTACATATAATGGGCCTCTGATAATAGTCCTCGGATTTTTTCCTTCCTAGTTTTAGCATTTGCTTCCATATCTTGAGAATTAGAATTGAAACTCTGTACTCAAGCCAGATACCAAAACTTCCCCAAAGACAAAACTAATCAGTTGCTGAGCTTTGACCAAGGCACCCAAAAGCCCAGGACCAAAAGCATGAGACATGCCCTATCTTCCACTGCCCTAGAGCAAACTGGTTTCTGTTTTTCATAAAACAAGAGATTTTTTTAAAGAAGAAGAAAAACAGAAGGGAAAAGGGAACATTTGTCACCTGTGCTTTTCAGCAAAGACCCTTAAACCATCTAACCCATCTTTATTTCTCACGTTTCCAGTGGGTTAGATAGTTGAAATGCTGTGTTCGTAAATATGTTTATGAGCAACAATGCCAGCAGCAATTACCATGCCATCAAAAAATACACACATCCGTGAAAAGTATGGAACTAGTTTCTGAGACAACACCTGAGGCCAGCCAAGAGTAGCAACAGAACGATTCCATCCAAGTCCGCTTGGAGAACCTACCACACCCCCAAACCCAGCGTAACACACCTACCCAAAACACAATTTAGCCTGTGAAGGTTGGACATGGAAGCAAGAGAAAGAACATAATAGAAGGGAAAAGAAAGGACAGAACTGGAAGAAAATAAAAGAAGGGAGTTTCAGAGCAACTGACGCTCAGCAGAAGAATGGGGGTGGGGAAAGGGGGAAGAATGGAGGTCCTCCTTGAGATTTCCCTCATCCCTCTTCCAATATACTCACTTTTATCTCTGTTAGGAACTAGATATGGCAGCATTTCCCAGAGTGGGAAACTTTTAAAAGAGGAAATCAAAAGGCCTAAGTTACCTCAGATTCATCATATAATCTTCATGGTTCCCTCTGTTCAAGTGCAGGTCATTGGGGTAGACAAGAAAACTCACACACAGGATCATTAGGACCTCTATGGAATTCCTTCCTCGATCTACAAAGTCACCATTAAAAACATATGGGTTGCTCCCTGAGGGGAGACCATTCTGTGGAAGGAGAAAGGGAAAAACAAGCAATTGAACGAATATATTTTTAAAGTAAGGCTGTGCACATAACATCCCTGTTAATTTGGAGAAAAGAGGCTGAGTCAGGTTCTTCCACCAGGAAAAATCTGCTCTCTCGCTTGAGCCAGTTTTACTCTTTCAGGGCAGGCATCTCCTGGAAAGGCCCTGAAAGGGACAAATTCATTTGGGAATGGAAGATTCCAGGGAGGATGGGGGCGTGCTCATTCTACCCACTACCTACTATGAGTTTTCTTTGAAAGGAGCTGATATTTATCCTATCAAACATGGCTATTCTCACCTCTTCCTTCTCCTCTGAAAAGAGGAAAACTTCTACCCAAGGAAGAACACCAAACTAAGAGCCAGAAATCTTTTATTCTAAAGGGTCCGTATCATCAGCTTCTTGGGGATGTGATTCCCCCAATTTGCAAAATGGGGATGGCACTATATCCCTTTCCAGATCACCTGAGAGAATGGAAATGAAAGTACTCATGCAAGTGAAAGGTGCTATGTGATGTGACTGAGCAGGTCGGATGTATAGCCAGTGAGCAACTACACCAGGTGTGCAGAGCCAGCATATATTCTCAATGATCACTGACCGGGCCATATTGGTTTTTAAGTATTCTTAATATCACTCTTGAGTATGAGATAATACTTTTAAACACAGTGTTAGCATAAAAAGCAGCAGAGATCAGATCAAAGGTCTGGTCTTTATAACAGCTAATAATTCATTTAGTCCTAGACTACAAAGCTCTAAGACAAAACAAACTCATGTAACATGGTTACATTTTCTCAATGTCATGTTTGATAGGGAAATGGCTATTTCTCTATTGCATGGCTTCTACTGCATAAGACAAATTCAAATGTTTTAAAAATATATTACAAAGAGACAAATTTCAGTACTCATATATAAAAATGCATATATAACCTTTTAAAAAGGTTACCTTCACCAGGAATGGTGGCTCATGCCTTTAATCCCAGCACTTTGGGAGGCCGAGGCAGGCCGATCACTTGAGGTCAGGAGTTTGAGACCAGCCTGGCCAACGTGATGAAACCCCATCTCTACTAAAAATACAAAAATTAGCCAGGTGTGGTGGGGCACACCTGTAATCCCAGCTACTCAGGTGGCTGAGGCAGGAGAATTGCTTGATCCTGGGAGGCGGAGGTTGCAGTGAACCAAGATTGTACCACTGCACTCCAGCCTGGGCAACAGAATAGGACTATGTCTAAAAAAAAGAAAAAAGAAAAACAAAAAGGCAATCTTCAGGAAATAATACGTAATATATTCTAGTAATATTAATCTTTTTCAGATGATTTTCTTTTTTTTTCTCAGCATCCTGAGTAGCTGGGATTACAGGCATGCATCACCATGCCCAGATAGTTTTTGTATTTTTAGTAGAGATGAGGTTTCATCATGTTGGTCAGGATGGTCTTTATCTCTTGACCTTGTGATCTGCCTACCTCGGCCTCGCAAAGTGCTGGGATTACAGGCGTGAGCCTCCGCGCCAGGCCGCAAATGATTTTCAAATTCCTCTTTTGTTAGATTTCAAACTACATTTTAAAATCTTATTACCTTATACTCTATATCCTACTATGTATACACATTTTAAATTGCTCATATCAATATAATGGAAATAATTGGAAAAATATAACACAGGTTACAGCATATAATTTAGGGATTTTAGAAATCATTTATACAATGTAACATGTTCTGAAGGCAACTGTAAACAAACAAATAAACAAGCAGTGGCATAGTGTTATACGAAGATGAACACCTGGGTCCAGGTCCATTCATTACCCATGTGTCCTTGGGCAAGTTATTTAACCTGTATGAGCTGTAGTTTCCTTATCTGTCAAATGGGGATGATAACTTCCATACTTACCACACAGGGCTATTTTGGAACTCAAATGAGACCATGTGTATGAAACTGCATTAAATTGGTAAAGCAACATAAAATTAAGAGACTCATTTTAATACTCTTTTTTTTTTTTTTTTTTTTTTTTTTTTTTGAGATGGAGTCTTACTCTGTTGCCCAAGCTGGAGTGTAGTGGTGTGATCTCGGCTCACTGCAACCTCTCCCTCCCAGGTTCAAGCAATTCTGCCTCAGCCTCCCAAGTAGCTGGGATTACAGATGCCTGCTACCATGCCTGGCTAATTTTTGTATTTTTAGTAGAGGCAGGGTTTCACCATGTTGGCCAGGCTGGTCTCGAACTCCTGACCTCAGGTGATCTGCCTGCCTTGGCCTCCCAAAGTGTTGGGATTACAGGCGTGAGCCATGGTGCCCAGCCAACCATATTATTTCTAATTCTAAGATTCCAATATTTTCTTACGCATTAATTCACATAACCTTATTCACACTGGGTTTAGTGTAAAGCAGTTGCAAAAATATAGGCTATTGTTTATCAAAACTTAAAGAAGGCAGGGCACAGTGGCTCACATCTGTAATCCTAACATTTTGGGAAGCCAAGGTAGGCGGATTGCTTGAGCCCAGGAGTTCAAGATCAGATTGGGAAACATAGCGAAACCCCTTCTCTACAAAAAGTACAAAAAATTAGCTGGGTGTTATGGTGTGCACCTGTAGTCCCAGCTACTCAGGAGCCTGAGGTAGGAGGATTGCCTGAGCCCAGGGAGGTTGAGGCTGCAGCAGAGCTGAGATCACACCACTGCACTCCAGCCTGGATGACATGCTGAGATCCCATCTAAAACAAACAAACAAACAAACAAACAAACAAACAAAAACATAAAGAAAGGGGTAAGGATTCTGCATCTCTGATCTCTGCTACTCTTCCTTCCCCCAGCCTTCAGCTGTCTAGGGTGAGTGAGCTGGAGGAACCTGAGGACTGTTGAAGGCTACAGACTCTGTGGGGATGTCCAACAGGTCTGAGGGGGACTAGAGGAGCAAGAGCAGGGAGCCCTGGGGTGAAAACATGGAAGAACTAGGCCTGAGGGGACTGTGGACACTAGATTAAGGGGTGGCTCTGCCTCCAGAGCATGTGTGTATGTGGTCTTGGTTTGTAGGCAGGGGGAGATAAAATGTTGGATCCTACTAGAAAAAGTGTAGGAAGATGTCTTCCACATCCCTGAAACTAAAAGAACAGGATCACTTGCATTTAGGGGTACCTAGAAACACAGAGACTTCACACTCAATGCCAGAGTACAAATTGTTGTACCTCTAACTATGGAAAGGCTTAACCTAGCTTAAGCAGAAAATAGAAAATGGAAATAAGCTAGTGCCTAAGAGGATCCAGCAACCAGAGAGAGACAGACCAATTAGAGCTACTAAAGCAGATGGTCCCTAATAAAACAGGACTGCTGGAGGAAACAGAGCACAAGTTTATTTTTAAAATAATAAGAAGAGCAAACAAGAAAACACAAAAACTTATCAATTTGGGGCATTAAGAATATGGTATTCAAACTTTAAATATCAACGAGTTGGCTGGGCGCAGTGGCTCATGCCTGTAATCTCAACACTTTGGGAGGCTGAGATGGGTGGAACACTTAAGGTCAGAAGTTCAAGACCAGCCTGGCCAACATGGTAAAACCCCATCTCTACTGAAAATACAAAAAATTAGCCAGGCATGGTGGCACACATCTGTGATCCAGCTACTAGGGAGGCTGAGGCTGAGGCAGGAGAGTCACTTGAACCTGGGAGGCAGAGGTTGCAGTGAGCTGAGATTGCACCATTGCACTCCAGCCTAGGCAACATAGCGAGGCTCTGGATCAAAAAAAAAAAAAAAAAAAAAAAGAAAAAGAAAAAAGAAAAATCAATGGGTTAAGGCTAACTAAAAGAAAGAATGGTTGGGAAAATACATTATTGACCTGAAAGAAAAAGCAGATGAAAAATCTCTCACACAGAGTAAAAGCAAAATTATGAAAATCAGGAAGAATAATTAAGAGACTAGCATTCAAAGCCAAGAGACTTAATATGCCAATAATAAGCATTCCAAAATCAGGAAAAAGGAACAGATAAAGAAGAGGCAATAATTACAAAAATAAGAGAGAACATTTTCTATGGTTAAAAAGAAGACTTCAATCTGAAGCTTGAAACAGTTCATGATTTCTGCGCACAATTGATGGGGGTAAAATCCCTGCTACATAGTAAAAAGATTAGAAGAGGCCAGAGAGAAAGAACAAGTTACAAAAGGAAAAGAATTAGCCTAGCATCAGACTTCTCATCTATAGCAGTGGGAAGTAGGAGATGGCAGAACAAAATCCACAAATTAAAGGGAAAAAAGGACGTTGAACCAAGATTTCTACCGTGGCCAAGACATTAAGTTCTCAGCGTGGTAGAAAAATATTTGCAGATGTGTAAGAGGTCAACTATCACCAACAACATAAATGCTCAGCGTGAAAGACAGACATGCAAATATGTAGTATTTAATACCATAAAAACAGCAAACATATATTGATTGCTTGTTATGTACCAGGCACAGTTTTAGGTGCTAGGAACACAGAAGTAAACAATATAAAGTTCCTGTATTCAAGGAGCCTGCATTCAGAGAAGATAGCATCCACATGCCCCGCTGAAGAAAACACTCAAGAAAATAACTAAATAACCATACTAACAATTAGAAGTCCTCAAGCCAGGGAAAGATCAAGAGGAAAAAATACAGATATGAACAATGAATTGTGAAATATATAGTTAAATATAAATATGACAATATGAAACTTGGATTTAAGTACTAAGCAAGGATTCCAGAAGTAGAAGAGACATGCTATGAAGGAAAACTTAATAATGGTCAAGAACTAAAAATATGGCATGAGCAATAGCTAGGATTTCCAAGGGAGCTGAGAAGAGAAAAATAAAATGCTGTAGAAATCTTAACTGAATGGGGGACATGGAGTGTGAAAACAGTTATCTTATTGAGAGAGAGAGAGAGGATCACAGTGGAAGAATAAAATTATAGCTATGAGAAATACACACATACACATTATTTACTAGAAATGTCAGAATTGGGAAGGTAACCACTAGTGAATGGAAAAG